TGCTATTTTATGTCCTCAGGAGCACAAGCTGATGGCCTTTTCAGAAGGCACTCCTTCTGTGGGGACTCTATCAGTGCCTCCTTACACCCACAGCCTGAGATGGGGCTCCCCATAAGGAGCAAGATGTGGCTCCCTGCTCAGGGCTCAGAACCTAGAATCCCAGAATTTGGACAGAGGGGGGGAAAAAAATCTATGTTCATTTTGATCGCTCCCGGCACCCTCCCTTCTGCTGGGAACAAAGGCCAGAGGAGACACAGCAGCAAGTGACACTGGGGCTTTCTCCTCTAGGATCAGAGGGACCTGCTGCCATGTTAGAGCCATTGCAGCTGTTTAAAAATAGGGCTGAGGGCTGGATAGATGGCTCAGAGGTTAAGAGCACTGACTGCTCTTCCAGAGGTCCTGAGTTCAATTCCCAGCAACCACATGGTGGCTCACAGCCATCTATAATGAGATCTGGTGTCCTCTTCTGGCCTGCAGGCAGACATGGAAGGAATGTTGTATACATAATAAATAAATAAATCTTTAAAAAAATAAAAAATAAAAATGGGACTGACTCCTGTCACCACCTCAGAGTAGTGCAAATGCCTTCCTCCCCCTGGAGTGTGTTCTCTGACACATCTAGCCTGCACTTTAGCTTTGCGCCCATTTAATACTGCATATGGAAAAGCCTCCTTTTAAAAAGATTTATCTAGTTTTATGTTGCGTTTGTGTGTATGTGTGTGTGTATGTGTTTGTTTGCATGTATGTGTGTGCACCTTGTGTGTGTCGTACCTGAGGAGGACACCTAAGGTGTCCAATCCCCTGGAACTAGAGTTACAGGTAGTTCTGAGCCGCCCCATGAGTGCTGGGAGTCAAACTTGGACCTCTCTGCAGGAGAGCCACAGTCTAGGGAGAAGAGAAAAATAAGGGAGCAATCCATCAAACCAAGGGGACACACCAAAGAGAGACAGACCGTCGAGAATGGGGCTAAGGGCTGGGGAGACAGCTCCGTGGTAAAGCACTTGGCACTTAGACGTGAGGACCTGAGTTCAGATCCCCATGAAACTGGATGCAGCGGTGCCCACGTTCAATCCCAGCATTCCTATGTCAGGATGGGATGTGGAGACAAGTTTTGTTTTTTTTTTTCTCAAAAACAAAACAAAAAGTAGCTCTGAGACTATCACCATGGGAGGGGGATTCCTGGCCTCTGTGTCTGGGGCCAGAGTAGCCATGGGGACTCTAACTTTCACTAACCCTCCTATTTGCAGGGCTGGAAATCTGAGGGTTCATTACAACATGGAAAGTGTGCTCAGTGCCTCCCAACACCCAATCTGCAGCCCATTGAGAAGAAAGATGGTCACGGGGCAGGTGCCACGGAGTGAATTTCAAACCTAGAGCTTTGAAATGCAGCTCATGACTCCCCGGCTCGGGCACAGACTCACCATAAGTGGCACGTGGAATTTACAGTCGTGACCTAGCCTCTTATGCAATGAGGAATTTACACGGCCGCATGTGAGCGTCTGTGTGTGAGTTTGCATGTGTACCTGGAGATGGAATGTGTGTGGACGGTGCTAACAGGCAGCTCTGGGCATCTGGAAGGTGTCGGGTTTACTGCCCAGAGCTGCTGGCCAGTCAGCTAAGAGCTTGTGTGTGCTCTGGCTGCAGCAGTGCAAACTCCACCACCCCAGCCCGAGGCCCCCTATCACCAAGCTGCTTTGTGAGCCTCCCCTGTGGCCCTGGCCCCAAGGCACTGGCCTGGCACAGGCAGGTCTGTCTGAGGCTGCTTTCCTTCCTGCCCAGGAGGGAAACAGCTTCACGAGGGTGGGGTCACACCCACTCCTCCCCCAGGGCATCCCACCCTGCACCCCACCCTTCAGGCTTCTTCCTGAAGGTTCACTTTATTCTCTTTCATTATGGCTGTCACTCAGCTGACAGGGCTGACAGGAGTACAGTGTGCATGTAGGGATTTGGGGACGTTTGTAACCTAGAAGTGGGGGTGGATTTGAGGTTGACAGTTGACCCCAAAAGCAGAGACAGGATGGGGTTGGGGTGTGACAGTCGGGGCTGAGCAAGGAGCAGAGAACAGAGGGGCAGAGGTGGGATTGCCCCATGAGGCTCCAGCCTGCACAAATGCCACCCCAGACGAAGGAGGATGAATTGGATCATGTCTGTTAATTCACTCATTTGTCCATCTGTCTATCAGCTGTCCATCCATCCATTCGACTTTCTGTTCATCCATCCAACCACCTATCTACCTATCCACCTTTCCATCTGTCCATCCCTCCGTCTGTCCATCCATCCATCCACCCGTCTGCCTGTCCATCCAGCTACCCACTCATCTATCTATCTATTCGACTTTCCATCCATCCATCCATTTGTCCGTCCTTCTATCCATCCATCCGTCCGTCCGTCGGTCCATCCATCCACCCACTCACTTCACTTGCCCACCCATCCCTCCCTCTTCGGGAACGTTCTGAGCTGGTCTACCCCACCCACTCAGGAAGAGCTGTAAAGAACCCTCTCTGTGCCTGTGCGATGTTCTGACCCACTTGGGGAAACAAGAGCCAAAGAGACAGAGTGAGCAAAGTGCCAGGCCCGGGTGTGTGGACCTCAGATGCTCATGGGTCTGCTGTTCTGCCAATCGGCCAAGGGCATCCCTGTCACCCCCTGCTCCTGATTCTCGATGCAGGTGCCAGCAGATCCCTACAAGTGGAATACTCTCAGCAAATGTAAGAGATGCCCCAGGGCAGGAAGTCTCAGGTCTGAGGTTCCCTGAGGTCTGAGGTCGCACGCACAAGCCTGCATTGAGCAGCTGGAGGAAGGTATGGCCAGAGGGCCCAGCAGTCCCGTGAGGTGTCCAGTTGGCCAGCCTGGGAACAGGATCTGGCCCTGACTGGTTGCTTCACTTCAGATCACGACTGGCAAAGTGGCCAGCAGTTTGACCCTTCTTGGTAAATGAGCCCTGGGCCTTCACAGCCTTCCCCATTCTCCGGGGAGCCTGTGAAAAGCAGGCGTGGGGGAGCTGGAACCAACCACTTAGGGTGTCCCTACCTCCTTGAAAGGAAGCCAGACATGTCAGTACCCATGCCTGATCTTCAGGGGTGGCCTGTGCCCTTCCACCGCTTCCTGTACCACTTAAGCAACAGCTGCCACAAGTGGCTGTCGGTGGGGCCAAGTGCCAGCTACAGTGACAATGGCTGTAATATAATAACGGCCATGACTGCAGCAAGCCCTTGTCCTCTGGGCTCACTCTTCTACCAGCGCACTCAGGTACTTCATAACCTTGGGGAAGGGGCTATTATGTGGCCCATTTTCCAGACCAGGAAACTGAGGCAGAGAGGCTAGGTATCTTGTCCAAATACCGAAAGATGATAAGTGAAGATGCGTAGACAGAGTCACCAAACACAATGCCCATGTCCCTCCTGAGCTTTGGCCACATTGAGGGACAAGCCTGAAAAAAGTCAGAGAGACATCTCATGACATATGAGGAAGCACAGGGCCCAGAGAGGTTGAGCAACAGGTGCAGGACGCCCAGCTCGTTTGTTGCGCAGCTGGATTTCAAGCCCAGAGCGTGTTCGTAGGTCAGGTGGCATTTTTGACGTATTTAGACTTCTTCTAGAGTAGCTTGGGGAAACTGAGCAGAGAGTACAGGAGACCTGGCCCTCCCTTTCGGGTCCTCTTCCCACCCTCGGCTTCTCCCTTGTACCAGACGCCTTAGTGTGCATTGTGGCCTAGTCACTCAGAGACACAATAATTGATCGATGCCACCGTTAACATCAGCACCATGGCACAGATTCCGAGGGTTTTAATAATGCACAGAGACAGCTCTTCACCAGTCCAATGCCACACAGCACAGGGCTGCACAGAGACAGCTCTTCACCGCTCCAACACCACACAGCACACCTCACAGCCCTAAGCCCCTTCATGCTCCCCACTTTCTTCCCTGCTCCCTGGACTCCTGACACCCCTGGAGCTTCATCTTCATGGTTCTGTCTGCTCTAGCACCCCTCACCCACAGCAGGTTGACCCCTTTATGGACTTGGGTTCTCTTTGTCTCTTTACGGCTATGGACTCTTTTGTGGTTCTCATTTTTGTGTACCTGTGAGAGGGCTGGGGGCTGGGAACACAGTTGTCGTTAGGGCAACACCATCATGAAGAGGGTCCCAGGTTTCCTGGGCCCCCGGTTGTTCCACCCCCAGGGCTCTGCAAGTACATCCAGGGCAGAGCACAGCAGTGTGCAGCCAAGGGAGTCGCAGGGCGATTTGGGGCAGCCGTTGGGATGGAAGTCCTCTTCTCTATCCACAGAGAGACACACGCCAGCCCCACTCAGGACTTTTCCCTGCAGTATCTCATGACACCAGGAGAGTCGCCTTTGACAGAGGAGGGCCAGGGCCTCCGTTGGCCGGCACAGGACAGCAGACCCCAAAGAGGGACACATAAGGACACCTGCATTTGATTTCATGGATAGAAACTTCCAAATAAGGGGAGCAGACAGCAGTCGATGAGCTGCTTGCCTCACCCACATGAGGATGTGTGTTTGATCCCCCAAACCACTGTAAAATGCCAGGTGTGGTCTGCACACTTCTAATTCCGGTGTCAGGGAGGCAGAGTCTGGCAGGGTCTTAGCTCTCACTTCTATTCAGTGAGCTCCGGTCGGTGAGAGACACTGTCTCAAAAGCCACATAGATGGTTCCTGAGGAAGAGCTGACCTCTGGCCTTCACACACATGCCTCTTTCCAGCACACATATATACACACATACATGCACACACACATTCATGCACATACACACACTCATGCTCTCACGTACACACAAACATGCTTACATACACACACTCTCACATGTTCTCTCTCTCTCTCTCTCTGTCTCTCTCTCTCTGTCTCTCTCTCTCTCTCTCTCTCTGTCTCTCTCTCTCTCTGTCCCTCTCTCTCTCTGTCTCTCTCTCTCTCTCTCTCTCTCTCTCACACACACACACACACACACACACACAGGTTGGAAGATACAGGAATCTAAACCCAGCATCAGGATAGGAAGGTTTTATAACTATTCTCCTACAGCACCCAGAGGGCCTGGATTAGCATGGCCAAGGTCAACCCATAGAAAGGTCTCCAGTGAGTGGACGCATGGCTCCGTCCCTCTTCCTTTCCATTCAGTTTTTGCTGAGTGGTTTCCACGAGGCCTTCGTGGGACTGTGCTCAGGGTCAGAGGCACACAGAGGAGGCCTGCATGGCACTGGTATATCTAGGGCAGAACGCGAGGTGAGTTGTGGCGGGGACCAGCTTCCTAACAATGTAGAGCGCGGAGAGCGAGGATGCACAGACAGCGCGGGAAGGGAAGGCGGCCGGGTCTGCTCAGCAGTCGCTCTCAGGTGCTCACACGCACCCCGTCGCTCCCCACAATCACTCCATTGTACTCCTCATGGCCCTGGTTAGTCCATGCTGGGCTTCATACAAGGGTCGCATTCATTGAACTGCCTATAGGAAAAAAAAAGAAAAAGCAAACATACACCTTCTCCCATAAAGAAACCCCCAGGAGTAGAGAGCCTTCTAGAATGCAGTGGGGCCTCTGTCAATTCTTCTGAGAGGCTTTGAACTTAAAAGATTTGATGGCATTTGACACACCTACCATGTGCCCACCCCCTTCAGCTTCTGGGGATCAGAAAGGGAACCCCACATTTTCCGAAGGCCATATGCTCCTTGAAAAGGGTTGAACCAGGTAATGCAGAGTGGCTGGGAGAGGGGCACTGAGATAGGAGGTCAGGGAGGGCTTCCTGGAGGCAGCAGGGGTTGCAAGGGAAACAGATCCCATCCCCCACTTTCCCTCTGAAAGCCTACTGGGAAAACAGACTTTGCTTCCCGAGCCCCACCAAGATCGGAGATCACTGGAAACTTCCAGATGACCGGCTCGCTGCCCTGTTGACTTCTGAGCAAAGGCTCCATCCTCTTATGCTTCATCCCATGCCAGGAGACTGGCGCTCCCACGAAGACGGGGTCCCCACCCAGGCTCGTCTCTGCAGAGTTCCAGTTTTCTTCTGTGTTGAGAAATTGGTTAACGAGAGAATTCAGGAAATTGTTGAACAGAACTCAGCATTGCTCCCTCCTCTTTCTCCTCCCTTTTTCTCCCTCCTCTCATCTCTCTCCCTCCCCTTCCTCTTCCCTTCCTTCCTCCTCCTTCTCACCCGCCCCTTTTTTGAGACAAGATCCCTGTAGCCCAGGCTGGCCTCAGACTTACCATGTAGCCAAGGATGACCTTGAATGTTTGAGTCCTGCCTCGCCCACTTCTCAAGTGCTAGGCTGGCATTCGCAGTTCCAAGGCTGCCTTTTCCTTTCTGACTTTTTAACCTTCTTTCCTTTCCTTTTGTTTTCCTTCTCCACTTGGATTTTGAGCTAAAAAACCTTCCTACCCGCTGTAATATTTTTCCCTACGAATGTCACCAACCTAAGTAGGCCAGAAAAATAGTAGTAAGAGGTAAGGAGGAAGGCCAGGAGTCAGGATAAACAGCAGTCCGAGAACCTTCCGGAAGAAAGCAGTGTCCGCTGCTCCGGCCTAATTCCTCCGAGGTCAAGCTGCCAGTTTCCTTCCCAAGGGGTGGTGTCCCCATGGCAAGACGGCCTCGTTGACTCCTCGGGTAGGAAGGGGCAGCACCGGGGACTCCTAGAGGGCCAGGGGTGAAACAGGACTCTGGGCCCTAGGAAATCAGCCATAAGCTCGGCACCTCCATCCAAATGCTACAGGAAGGACTCGGGCTTGGAGAGGAAGGGTGTTTTTGTTTTGGTTTGGTTTGGTTTGGTTTGGGTTTTTCAAGACAGGGTTTCTCTGTGTATCTTCCAGCTGTCCTGAAACTCATTCTGTAGACCAAACTGGCCTTGACCTCACAGAGACCATCCTGTCTCTGCCTCCCCGAGTGCCACCACGGCCCCACCAGAGAGGAAGCTTTCAGGGGAAGAAATCTGTTTCTGGACCATGGACCCATGAGAACTTCAGCCATACAGGGCCCTCAGCTGCCTGCTGCTGGGACTGGCTTGAACCACGACGCCTGCCAGACCCATTCTCCCCCTCAGAGCTGCTCAGCGCACACGCCACAGCCAGGACTCTGATCCGCTTGGTCCTCTGGGGCCCAGGCCCACCTGCTGTGCTCCTGGAGTCTGTGTTGGTGGAGAAGGACCCTTAGGAGGCTTCCACATGGCCTGTTCCATGGCCACATCCATCCCCATGGATCAGAGAACTTGCTGCCCCACGCTCATGGCCTGCTCACTTCCACAAAGCCCCAGATAAGCCATCCCTGTTGGAAACAGATGGCCAGCCTGAGCTGCAGGGGGACCCAGGCACCTGCTCTCCCCTCTGTCATCCATGCCTCTCCCTGGCCCTGAAGTCAGTCCATCAACCTATTCTTCCGTGGTGTGGAACAGCTGGAGTCAGAAATGTTCCTTCAGTTCATCAAGTGGGAAACCTTCCCTAGTGCACCCCAGGGCCACATGTGCACCAAAGACAGTTGCCCAACTGGGGCAAAATATCAACAGCTTGGCGAATTGGAGACTCCATCCATTCATGTCTCCTCAATCTATCTGTCCTTTCACCCATTTATCCATCCATCCATCTGTCCATCCGTCCATTCATCTATCCATCCATCCATCCATCCATCCATCCATCTATTCATCCATCTACTCAATCTACCCATCCATCCCATGATGTGAGATATCCTTCTGTATATGTGTTGCTTTTATTGGTTAATGAATAAAGCTGCTTTGGCCTATGGCAGGGAAGAATATAGCCAGGCTGGAAGAGTATAGAGAGAGTAGGCGGAGTCAAGGAGATGCCATGTAGCTGCCGAAGGAGAAAGATGCCAGAACAGAACCTTACCCGGTAGGCCATAGCCTTATGGTAATACACAGATTAACAGAAATGGATTGATTTGAGATGTAAGAGCTAGGTAGCAATACGCCTAAGTTGTTGGCCAAACAGTGTTGTGATTAATATAGTTTCTGTGTGATTATTTGGGTCTGGGAGGCTGGGAACCAAAGAGTAGCCTCCACTTACATGTCCGTCCGTCCGTCCATCCATCCATCCATCCATCCTTGTGAACAGTCTGAGTGAGTCCATTCCATCTACTCAGGAAGTACTGTATAGAAGCCACTCTGTGCCTTTGCGATGTGCTGACCCACTTGGGGAAACAAGAACCCAGACACACGACATGAGCAGAGTGCCGGGCCTGGATTGCGTGTGCGGACAACAGAGCTCTGGCTCAGATGCTCAAGGGCCACCAGATGCCCTCACCTCCCTTCTTCCCATGCACTTCTGCTCACCACAACTGTCCTCCCCTGCCTTCTAGGAATGTCCTCTGTCCCTTTCTGCGGTGTTCCTCACCAGGTCGCTCACGGCCACCCTTCCTGTGCCCTCACTTCATGCTCCCCTGATACAAAGCTCGTGTCACAGCCAGATCTAGTGTGCACACCACACCTGTGATCCCAGTGCCCTGAAGATGGACACAGGAAGATGGCGAGGATGGGGCCAGCCTGGGCTACATAGTGAGACCCTATGCCAATACACAAAAGAAAAATAAATAATGGGCTCTCAAAAAAAAAAAGCTGGGCATAGAGGCACATGCCTTTAATCCCAGTATTTGGGAAGCAGAGGCAGGTGGATCTTTGTGAGTTCAAGGCCAGCCTAGTTTATATAGTGAGTTCTAGGACAGTCAGGACTATGTAGAGAGACCCTACCTCAAACAAACAAACAAACAAACAAAAAAACAAACAAAAACTATTAGCAGTATTTGCCCCTGCTGTTCTCTCCCTTAGGGATGAATACTCCTCCCAGTCTCCCTTCTCACCCATCTGGCTTCTGAGTTTATGGCCGTTGAAGGAACTCCCTAGGGTGGGGACCCCAGGTGGTCCCTTCGTCCTGGTCATTCCCCTACCACTCCATGTTATCTGTGCTGTTTGTAACTATGAAATTATCTTCTTTAACCCTCCTCTCTCCCTGTCCGCACCGGCCCAAGGCCTAGAGACCAGCCTGGCAGCCATCAGGGACCTCGCTGGCACCTCCTGGAGCAAGTGATACCAGATAACAACCATCCCAGGAGGGAGGCCCTCTGCCCTCCCTTGGCACCTCAGAGCCCTTGCTGCCCTGCCCAGCCTCACAGCCACGCCTGGCATCCCAGTTCTGCCTTGCCTGTTGCCTAGGCATGGCGCCAGGCGGCTTCCTCCACACAGCCCTCGGTCTGCACTTCCAGCTGGAAAACCGCAAGGCGTGGGCTTGGATCTGCCATGAGGGGTGACTGCCATGATTTGCTTGCTACATTGTCTGGTGCACACAGAGCCACTTGAGGGCATGGGGGCACCTCTTCTTTATGTCTTTAAGGTGGCAAAGAGTACTTCTTTCAGTATAAGGACTGAGCCCCTGGTCTCCCCTAAGGTCACGTGGTCCGGGCTAGCAACCTCATCACCTAGCCAAAGATGACCTTGAACTTCTAATCCTCCTGCCTCCACTTCCCAGTGCTGGGATGGTGCAGTGTGTGCCCGTGTCTGGCAGCTGGACTTTACAGTCTGTTGTCTTTCCACACAAGACTTTGCCATAGCCCACAGGGTCAGGGTGCCCTCGGATTCCCCGATGCCCCTCGAAACTGCTCTTGAGATTAATGCAGTGCCTTGCTGGGCCTAGGAAGGAATCACAGAGATGCACAACAGCCATGGTGAGCTGTCACCAGTAGGGACAACTCTGTGCCCTTTGAGCTTCGGTTAACAAGGACATTCTTGGGAAAGCTGGGATCATCTGATAGGAATAGAAGTTATGTAATCTTACCCCCTCCACGGACACCCCCTCCTTTCAGGCTCCTGGGGCTGGATTGACTATCTTTGTCCCTGGAAGGTACAGCCCACGCAGAGCTGAGGGTCCAGGAAGCATGTGTTGACTTTGAAACAGCTCTGCAGACTGGACAGTGAGATGCCTTCTGCGCACATTGGAGGTGAGCTGTCTCCATGTGGGTACACACGCTTATGTCTGGGGGCTGGGCGGGGGAGGGCTTCAAGTTTGGGCTTTTATTACAAGATTCTTTCAACTTTCCAAAACCAAAATGAGGGCCTCTGGCTACTTCAGGAACCCCCGGGCTGGCTGGTGGCCACACCTGGCCTGCAGGGCGTTCTCGTTTTAATGGCCCTCATCACCAGCTTCATCCCAGCCGGCTTATTTAATTGCGCTCAGGACATAAATAGGTTTCTGTTCACGGGAGCTGGGAGACACTGGAGAAAACTGTTTCACCAGGAGCCCCTTGAAGCCCGAGGCGTGAGGCAGCAAGTCCACGGCCAGGAAGAGCCTCTCGGGGTGAGAACTGAGGCCCAGGACAGCTCCAGGGTCCGCCTGGCCTGTGCAGCTGCCTTGTTATTTTGTGTGAAGCTTTGGGGTCCCAGCTGTCCGGTCACCACACACTTCTTCCCTCTCCCTATTGGGCTGGGAGTAAGAGCTGAGCAGGGCATGACTAAGCTAAACACAGAGATGGACTCTTTGGCCAAGCAGGGACATCGGTAGTTCGAGCAGGACCCTAAGTCAGGCACTGTGTGGGAGTCTCTCAGGCAAAGCCAGATACCAGAGAAGACCCTGATCCCTGAGGCAGGAGGGATGGCCTCTTGTCCAGGTCGAGGGCCTGCTGAGACACACGGTCTGGAATGACACAGTTGCGGGGTGCTGGGCTTCAGTGTTCCCAGGACAGACAAGCCAGCACCTGCTACTCAGAAAAAAGGCCACCGTTGGTCCCCATCTGTCCTCTTTTCTTTCCTCCCACGCCTTCCTGGCCGCCACTTCCAACACTGAGTTGAGCAAGGATGAAGACATGTTCAGGGGAGGCCAGAGATATATGCCACACAGTCCCCTTCCCCTTGTCTCTATTGCTGAAGAGGAAGCATGTGTCTGAACACGTGTGCCCGTGCACATGTGCGTGCATGGGAGTGTTGTGTGTGTGTGTGTGTGTGCACATGTGCACGCGTGTAGGTGCATGTAGGATGTGAGTGGGCACGTGTGTGTAAACGCACTGGTTAGTTTTGTTCAGCTTGACAAACTTGAGCCACCCGGGAAGAGGGGGCCTCACTGGGGAGTCGACTCCATCAGATTGGTC